ATATTATATAGATTATTATTTTGATTAGTAAAATTTCTCTTAAGATGGGCCAGTTTTAAATTCACCCCATCATAATCTACGATCGAAACTTGACTAAATTTATTGGTTTTTCTGAAATTAACAGTGGAATTGAATTATAGTAATATTTGGGGGCCATATTGGAATTTCCGAAAGAGATCCGAAGTTCGGCATTTCGTCAGTCCCGTGAGTGTCGGATTTAGGGTCCTATTCTTCATTTTCTGTTCGCTTAATTTACAATTGCCAAGGCGCTAAATAGATTTCTATCTTGCGATTTTTCCTTAAGCTGGGGGTGGATACAAGATGCATACCTTTTAAATTTTCTCCTTATGCGATGTTTTTTTAAAATTATTATTTCGTTTATTTATTTTCTTACAGGCTGCTGCCGAAAGTTTGCTAAGAATTGGCGATGTTCTGCAGTAGATCGCGATACGGGCGAATATTTCGTCGACTTCGTTATTAATTTTTTTTAATAGTCTTTCTCTCAGAAAATTATTTCATCTTGAATAACTTTCCTTGTCAAATTTTTTTGCTACAAAAAAATATTTCGTCGGAAGCACCGCTGCATCGAAAACGCCGCATGTAGGAAAAAAACAACTTTTTTTTCGATAGCGCCGCGGCTCTTCCGCCGAAAAATACGGTACTTCCTTCTTCTATGACTTTCCACACGCTAATGGGGAAAGCATGTGAAGAACTCTCTACCTATAGGTAGAGAGTTCTGCTCTACGCCACCTGCAGCCCATTTCGATCGCCAATATCAAAGATTTAACATTAATTTTTTCCTTATTTAACACGAAGTACTATTTTTGAGTTGCATCTATTTTGACGAAAACCGTTATAATTTTCAGACAATTGGTCCTATCGTATAGCGATTGGTCTTGTTCCACACAGAGCAAAAAAATTACAGAGGAAAATATACTTACATATTCAGATAGTTCCCGGAGAGCAATGTAAAGTATATACATAAGCACGTGTCAAAAGTAGTACTTTTTATTCATAAAAACTCTTTCAACTTTTGAACAATAGGTTTTTTTCAACTGTATATAGTCACATTTTATTCAGCGATAAAGTAATATATCGAAAAGTATGTCTCACTTGCTTGTCAAAAAGAAATTCTATTCTCCCCGTCAAATCATCCTCATTTCCCACAAAAGGAATCAGCGTACAGAGGAGATTAAGAGAGTTTTCAGGTATGATTTAAAATAGCAATACCTTCAGTCGAAAAGTATCTTGAGTATTTATTGTTCGTAGAAATACCTTTTTTAGCTAAAATTATGTGAATGATTACTCACAGTGAAAGAAAATTATACAATGCAATATTTATTCATTTTAATAAATTTAAAGACAAAAACTATCTTGACGTATAATTGTTTATGCAAAGTGAAAATGTATCATAAGTACTAAATAGTAAAAATTACAGTCTTGGGGTATAAAAATTCTGAATTTAAAGAAAATCCTTTACTAAAAAATTTGAAATTTAAATATAAACAAATATAAACAAAATATATTTGAAATATAAAAAAATGAAGAATGTATTTATTAGACGATTCACTAGTTTAATATATGTTCAAGGGAAAGTGGGAGATTAGCGTATGGAAAAAACAATGATTGAACCCCCCACTTACAGGTCGGTAGGCACGAATTTGGGAAACTTTAATTTCTTTTCATTGTCTGAAAGAAATAGAACTCTATTCAGTATTTCTGAATAGATAATTTAGGCCCAATCTTGGTAATATGCATCTAAATCATCCAGTCAAACATTATTTACATATTTACTCATCTGATTAAGAATGAAGAAATTAAATTAAGCTATCTTTTTTATTGCAGTGTTAAAATTGCGCCGAAAGTAAGACTTTTACTACTACTAACGCCACAAAAGATAAGAGACTGTGGAACTGCAGCACTTTCTGAACGATTTTGCTTTATTCGTGCATGAACCTTTACTTTAACAGAAATAAGCGGCTGTAACCATTTCACTTGTCAAGGTTTCTTAATACGGAGTGTCTATTGCACCGATTATCGGCGCAGTAAAATTCATTTTGCTATCTCACCGATCAAATTTTTAACCAATCATAGAGCGTATCTGTCCACGTGACTCTCCGATTTTTTTTTTTTCAAAAATAATTTAGCTCTGTTTATCGTAGTCAAGGTAGCTACAAATTTTGTAGCATCTTGATTTTCTTCATATGAAGAATAACAAATAGCCATTCATGAATTTGAAAAAGAAAAAAGGACAATCTTCTGGAAGAGAGAAGCGAAAACTTTACAAAATGCTTCAAAGAAATTTAAAAAATTTGATAAGGCTCCGCTGGAATTGAAATACACATGGTGGNCTTTTATAACAATATATCTCTAAAAAACTAAATCAAATTTTCACTTCAAACTCACCAGAATTACATATTAACATTAATATCTTATGAAATATGGCAGATTTGAGCTCAGAAATCATCTAATTTATTTCTTTTATTGAAAACAAAATTATTGGTTTGAAAACATCGCCTGACATGTAGTAACATCGAAAACATGTAGTAAGCAGCTGCAAACTTTTTAACCGGAACTAGAGTAGGTGCCGAGCTCGAGATTGTTATTGTTTACGAGCTCGAGATTGTTATCGTTACAGAGAGCTCGCCGCATTTTACTATACTCTAAATAGCATAATCCTGCAACTTTTCTGTTTCTTTTGTTCTTCACAAATCTAGATAGATATCAGATGTGTACAAGCGTAATATAGTACTTTATTAAAACCCTTGTAACTTCTGAACTAATTGGCTCATTTGACTAAGAGTAAAGAATCTAAATAGTATACAATATGTGACTTGGCTAGATAGCAATTCCAGTAATTTTTGCAATGTTAATTCGTTACTCAAGTTTTGAGTTTGAGTCATCCTTTTCGACACGCTCGAATTGCAATGCGATTCGATTCTATTAGTATTGTTACAAAAATGAGATTTTCGTGACCATTCTTCTAGTTTGAGACTTTTTCGTAACTTTCAAAATTTTCATGACTGATAGACACCCTAGTGTATTTATATTAAGCTGTTTGAATTAACTTCAGGCAGGACGCACTTATATATTTAATTGTGGTATATATCATACCCACCTGGTGACATCAAAACTTCTATAATTCTATTGGTTTATCTAATATATTTATAATCGGGAACTTCCACGCACCCGAGCAGTCCAGACTTAAGGGATCATACTATATTATCTTAAGTAATTTTTTCTCAAAGTAGATCATAAGTCTTAATTGTCTGTCTTTAAGTTTTTGTTTTTTATTTTAAAAAAATTGTGTATCGTTAACTCTTGTGCTGTATGTATTGCAATCTTTCCAAGCAAAATCATACTTTTTTTAGTATAAAATCTATATTGTTTATATTAAACTCGTATTTAAATTCTTTTTATTTTGCTTTATTACTTTTATTAAAAACAGATGAATCCTATATCCATGTATTGTACTCAACGGAATAAAATAAATAAATATAATAAGCATAGAAAATAATTATCTATTAACGTTCACAACGCAAAGAAGATGGCGTTCAAAGTGCTAATCACTAGTATTTGGGTTTTAAGATTTTTACTTCCTACCCGTTTATTAAATGATTATTTTATAATTTAAAAGTAATTATTCTCATTATTTATTAATTTTATAAATAAAAAGTAATTATTCTCATTATTTATTAGTTTATAATTAAAGAGTAAAAATTCTCATTTTTATTTTTGCAGAATGAAATAGATGGCTGATTTATTTTTATTTATCAATCGATGACCTTAACAATATGTCCACAGAAAAAGAAGTCCTTACAAATGACTTGCATAATACTGAAGATGAATCTTTAACCCCTAGTCTTTCAACAACAAGTAGCCTATCTAAGCATTGTAATGTTCACTCTAAAGAAAAATCTTTTTCCTGTGATAAATGCAAAGAAACATTTTTACTGGAAGAACATTTAGCAAATCACAATCTTATTCATTCAAGTGAAAGTGAGTTAAATTTTTCATGTAACATGTGCTGTGAACATTTTATATTAGAAGAACAGTTACAGAATCATTATACTGTTCATTCTAAAGAGAAAACTTTTTCCTGTTACATATGCTGTGAAACCTTTTCACTCGAAGAACATTTAACGGATCATTGCCTTGTTCATTCTCAAGAAAAATCTTTTTCCTGTGATATATGCCAGAAAAAATTCCTGTTAGAAGAACATTTAACAAGTCATTACCTTGTTCATTCAAAAGAAAAACCTTTTTCCTGTGACATTTGTAAGAAAAGATTCTTACACCAATCATCTTTAAATCGTCATGCACTTATTCATACTGGAGTAAAACCTTATTCCTGTGATATATGTGAAAAGAAATTTATTCTTAATAAGGACTTAGTTTTGCATAGTCGTGTTCATAATGAAGAAAAACCTTTTACATGTGATACATGCAATGCAAGCTTTAAGCAGAGAAGTCATTTAATGAGACATTGTCTCTCTGTTCATGCAAAGGAGAAACCTTTTGCCTGTGACATTTGTGATAAAAGTTTTTCTTGTAAAACCTCTTTAAATCGTCATAAATTTCTTCATTCTGGGAAAAAACCTTATTCTTGTGATTTATGTAAAAAAGACTTTATTGAAAAACACTCTTTGGTTATACACAATCGCGTTCATACTAGAGAAACTCCTTATTCGTGTAACTTGTGTGGTAAGACATTTTCGAGAAATAACCATTTAACAAGACATTATCTTGTGCATACTAAGGAAAAGCCTTTTACATGTGACGTATGTAATAAAAGTTTTTATCGTCAAGAAAAGTTAAGATATCACAACACTTGCCATCCTAATCATTGATTAGAAATATTTGAAATTTTATGCAACAATGGGTTAATTTTGTTAACTAATTTAAGTTACACTCATGTTGAGTAAAAGTTTTTTTTTTTAACCATATGCATATAGGATTGCATTTCTATTACTTTTCTATGATTTTTAGAGATATTAATTTTGTCTATGAAATACTGGAAGGTTTTGAAAACTACAGAAGTGTTTATTTTATTCTATTCATGAACTACACTGGTTATCATAAATTAAGGAAAATTCACAAAAATCGCGATAACTCTTTCACGAAAAAGATGTATACTATTTTTAATTCCAGAGTAGTTTTCTGGGGGGAAAAAATGTTTTAACAATTTATTTTTTCATGAAAATTCTATCAATGCAGCTCTGAGCAACTCATAACAGTTTGA